TGCATCATTTCGGTGAACGACTGTAACACCTCGCTCATGAATCGAGGGTCCCTGTCGTGTCTGATGAGAGAAGGTGCACCGAATCTCCGGTACACGCATTCTTCAAAAGCTTGGGCTACTCTCAGAGCAGTCGTGTCTGCCATAGCTTTGCCCATCACATACCCTGTGAATGCGCATTGGAACAGTAAGAGCGCTGTGTTACCCCGCCGAGACTTCGGTATGGGTATTACAAAATCCATCGCAACAACCTGAAACGGTCGTTCCGCTAGTATGTTCCCCGGAGAGTATCCACGGATCTTTGGTCGACTTTTGCTTGAGCTACAATCGGGACAGGACCGCACGTGCCTCGCTACGTCCGCGCACAGACCGATCCAATATTAGTCCAACTTCACTCTGTAGAAAGTCCGAGCGATCCCTTGAAGGCTTCCTTCTAACGAGTCGTGACAGTTCTGCAGTACCTCTTGCATCATCGTTGAGGATACCACTAGGCGCAGCATCGCGTCTTCTTGCTGTTGGTCACTCCTCAGAGGCCTCGTTCCCACATATTAAGCACGTTCTCCTCGCTTAGGACAAAGTGGTCGGACATTTCCCACGCGTCTCTCGCTGCACGGTACGTTAGGATCGATTCGTCCCCGCGGAGAACTATCTTCAAATTCGCCCACCGTAACTCCTCGTCCTGAGCAGTCGCGATCCTTCTTCGACGTTCTCTTTGGACCGTTAGGGGGTCCACGTCTTCCGCGTCAGGCAACGCGGGGGTATTACCGTTGGGTGCCGTTACTCTTGAGAACTCTGTTTCCAGACGGACCGAGTCCTCTGTTGGCATACCGTTGGCTTCCTCTCGTTGTGTTACATCTTCTCCACCTGTCACCGAGGTTTCGTCGGCAAATCTGACGCGTTTGGGCTTCGACCTAGCTTGTAAACTAGTCGTTACCGTTAGGCCCCCTGTCTCCCTCTGGTCCCATCGCACAAAATCAAAGACATTTTTTGACGCGGCTCCGGGGCAGTTCCGGATCGCTGTGACGGTTTCATGTGTCGCAAATGTCGCGTCTGAACTTGCGCTGCTAACCGAGGGTTCGTCCGCCGAGGTCTCGGTGATGGGTGCATAGATGACCTCTTGGATAAGGTTCAGTGACCTCAACTCATCAGATATAACGCCTGACGCCTTGTTTTCCGATGCTTCCGTTGCTAACGTGCATTGTATTCTCGTACAGCGTGTAGGCACTTGACTGACTTTAGTCGAGTAACGAGCTCTCGGTGGCGGTTGAGTTGGGACATAAGCGACTCCTTCTTACACACAATCACCCCTTGTGACTGCTGGATTGCTAGTCTCGAGTCACCAACAATGACAAGGTCGGTTGCACCAATGTCTAGTGCCGCCTGAACCCCATTGTTCATGCCAGAGTAGTCGGCCATGTTCACTGTTGTTGATTCGAGATAAGCACTCGCAGCGGTGACTATTGTCCAGTCGGGTAGTCGCCAGACAATCCATGATCAACTACCGTAGTCACCGTATTTCTCGGTTTTGGCCGATCCATCAAACGAGACCATGAGCCCACAGTAGGATTGGGGTAAACGAGCGTATAGCAACTGAGGGTCCATGCAGACGGTGGAAGACCCCTTCGTGGGTGGTGTAACCGTCGTCAACGAGTCTTCCAAATCCACAAAACTCGTTAGCCCAGCTTGCAAGAGCTGGACGAAAGCGCAATTTTTTTCTTTGACCCTGGTGACTACCGGGAGCCACGGAGACAGCATCACAGCGAATTGGGTCGTCCGTCCGAACAGAGACTTCGATGTGTGTACCCACTCCAATGTTGAGAACCGAGTATACACATGAATGGTGTGGCCCGCCAGTTGTGTATAGCATGTCTTCAGCAACAGTAGCAAGGCTAGCACTTCCTTCTCGGCTGGATGGTAGTTCATCTCGGCTTCTTTCAAAACTCGTCCGCAAAAACGGACTGGGTGCATTTTGCCCTCATGCTCTTGCATGAGGGTGGAGCTTAACGCCCACTCGTTCGCAGATAGTGTCACGTGGATGTCTTTTTGTCGGGCAAAATGACGCAGAATTGGGGCGTCGCCGATTTTCTGCTGCAATTTAGCAAAACTCTGTCGGGCGACCGACAGGTCCCCGCCCGGTTCGAAAACCTCTTCCTTCAGCTGGTACAACGCAGCCGCGTAGACCGCAAAGTCCTGGATGAACCGACTATAGTAGTTCAGTGCTCCCAGAAAGGACTGCATGCCTTTCTTACTCGTCGGGAACGAGAACTCGGTCACCCGCTTGATCTTCTTAGCGTTAGCTCGTAATCCTTCTGGGACTACCTCATGCGATGGGAAGTCGACTCGTGGCTGAACAAAAATGCTCTTGGTAAAGCTCACACTGATTCGGCACTCTGTAAACCGTCGAAGCAACCGATCCAGGGTTGACAGACATCCATCAAACGTTTCGCTCCCAAAACAGATATCGTCGACAAACGACCTTCGGTCGAATACTGGCACCAACGAGGACTCGTCTGGTTCTCCATTCGTAAACATATCGCCTACCGAGCTATTGACTAGTTCTGAGACGGGGTCTTCGCCGTGCTCTTTGTTTGTTCGGCATGTTCCCCTGTACATCAATGTCGCATACCACTCCGTATGTGGGGGTGGTAGCGCATTACCACTAGCAATCACAATCCCTTCGTGACGTTTTAAAACCTCGACGAGATTCCATCACCGTCGGTACCATTTGTCTGGTCCTTCGGTCTCTTTCGAGGCAGTCGGAACTCTCGCCACTCACCTCGAGG